AAAGAAGATCAAGAAGAAGAAGAACAAATAGACAGAAATTTAAGAGAAAAATGTCAAAAACGAAACACAAGAGCATAACAATTACCAGGCATTATTGATTATATTACCAAACAAATTTGTAATGCTACAATCTGCGGGTCGCAGGTTCGAATCCCCGTTCCACCAAACATGCTCGCTCTTTCAGCCGTGAGGGCGTTATAATGTGACGGTCAGTCCCACTATTCGTTGATAAAAGAGTTGGCGGTGGGTGGTGATGACTAGCTGCCTTCCCTCTAGTCTTACACTGCTAAATTAGGGATGGCTAGCGCAGATAGCCCTCGTGTAGCTTTACGCGAATTTACTGAAGATGTGTATCGATTCGCAATCTGCGGGTCGCAGGTTCGAATCCCCGTTCCACCAAACATGCTCGCTCTTTCAGCCGTGAGGGCGTTATAATGTGACGGTCAGTCCCACTATTCGTTAGTAAAAGAGTTGGCGTTGGGTGGTGATGACTAGCTGCCTTCCCTCTAGTCTTATACTGCTAAATTAGGGATGGCTAGCGCAGATAGCCCTCGTGTAGCATTACGCGAAATTCAAAAACAAAACAAACAAAGATGTATAAGGACTCGCCCAATAATTTTATCAAGATGCCTCATGTGAAACCATAGATGTCATTGTGGATTAAGATGTGTGAAGTGGACTAAAGCAAATTAGATGCACATCTATAAAAAAAAATCGTTCAGTTGGCGATTTAACTTGATTTAGTTAAAGCTGTAGGTAAAAACTAAAGGCAGAAATCACGAAATTATTACATCAAAAAGCACAAAAACACTAACTCTTTATGGTGGGGTCTAATGGACTGCTCCTGCTTGTTTCCAAGGTGGGACATTGTTTTGGCTTCTATACCGAGGTATTCTTTAGGTTAAAGCCAAAGTTGTAGTAGCAGCGAATTGGGATTGAATACCCGGCGTGCTCAGAAATTAAATAACTTACCTTTGCCCCACTCATGATGTAAGAGATATACGGAAGGCACTTAACGATAGAGAAATAAAACAATATCCTACAATCGATAGACCCAATACTGAAGAATTTGTGGCAAGGAATCCCGCCGGGGATTATTAGATCCAATGCCAAATACTTTTCTTTTTTTTGGGGGGGGGGGGTAAAGGAATATTCTATTGTCAAGAGTCGTTAACTGTGTAGCATCTTTTTATTGGATAGCACGTTGCTATTATAAAGTTCCTTCCGGTGTATGTACCTTTCCGTGTAAGTAGATGTATGTCGAAGCGTGTTGTGTGAATCCATCGTTCATTCTGTGTTGTTTGGTGAGAGGTCCTGGTGTTGTTGATGTCAAAGCCGTGGTCTTGGTTGAAAGTAGGCTGGTGTAATTTGATTCTTTAATTTTTATGATTTTTCCAATTGTGAGTCATGTCCAGAATTTTATGTTGGTTCCAATTTATGATATGACCTGTTTTGTAATTATATTCTGCCAATACTGATTTTTCCGGATTGTTAATCTAGTTTCGTTCTTATGTTCTGTTAGTCTTTGTTCCGTGGTTCAACCCGTTCCTCCAATGTATGCATTTCCGCACGACCACAAAACTTCTTTTTGTTTTAACTTGTTGGTGGGTTGTTTCAATTTCATTAGAGTGTTTTGAAAAACAGTTACATTTCATTAAAACTTTTATGTTGAACTCATGACATTGCTTATTGAGTTTTTCACCTATTTTAGGTAATATGTGTGGTAATATAATTTTGTTGTTGTTGTTGTTGATCTTATTGTTTTGGCTATGAACTCTTGTTTTGGTGTGTGTGTGCGTGTTTTTTTTTCTTTTGAAGCTGAGATGAAGCTGGATTGACATATCCAGAAACATCAGCATTACCAAAACGTAATTACAAAACAAGCGAAATCATAAACTGAGACCAAAATCAAATTCTGAATACAGCTCAGCATTGGAAAATCAGAAAAATTAAAGAATCCATTTACATCAAATTACACTAATCTACACTCAATTAAGATCACGGCTTTGACATCAACAACCTTGGAAAAACTTATCTCACTAAGCTACAGAGAATGGTTGATATGGATTCACACAACACACTGATGTGGATTCACACAACACACTGATGTGGATTCACACAACACACTGATGTGGATTCACACAACATACTGATATGGATTCACACAACACACTGATATGGTTTCACACAACACACTTACAGATACACCTATTCACATGGAGCAACAAGTAAGTACTCAAGGAGGATCTCTGTCACAGGATCGTGCCATCCAACAAAAAGATGCTACACGGTTAATAACTTTGACCTTAAGAAGGCTTACAAGAACAACAAAGCCTTAGTATAGAAGTCAAAATGTCGTGTCATTCTACAAACAGTCAGGAGCAGTCCGTCAAAGCTAAATCTCTACAACTTCTTATTTTAACTACTTTAAACAAGTTGTAGGGTTTAATAAATATACATTTTGACTTACAAGGGATACTGATCAACACTTTTACATACTGTACGCCCAGTGTCTGGACATTTTTGTGGCTTGGGGAGGAAAGGATTTCTAGGTGCTGATGTTTTCGGAAAGGAATAATCAGAGTAGTAATAGGAACTCCTTGAATATGTACCCCAGACGCCATCTTCTGGAGGAATAGGAAGGCACAAAAATGAGGGAAGCCATGTTAAGATGTGGAACAACACAGTTGATAACTGAAAGAAACAAAAACAAAACCGTTCAGAAATAGACTTAGTGAAATGTTTGATTAAGATTAACTATTTATTGAAACATAAAACTAGATATTATCCTAGGTAATGTTAGATCATACTGTTTATGGGGTATATGAAACTAACTGTATCTAGTATTTCGTACCTACAACTGACTGAATGCTTTTCACAGAAATGTCTTATCTACGATTCTGATTCTATGGAGTTATTACACCAAATGCTCATAATGGCTACGTTTGTTCTAGGACGTACAGAAAGGGAAACACATCTAAGCATCACTACTTCTACTTCCTACAATCGTATTTACGGCTTATTAGGAAAATAACACACAAATATTTCACTGGTATTACTTGCTAAAACCTTTTTTTATTGTTTACTAGGAGGATAAAACATCTATAGTTCAATGCTAATACTTGTTTAAAATGTTCTTTGTGGTTTATTGAGAAGACAACACACCAGTACCTCAATATATTGCTTGCTACAATTTTCTTTGTGGTTTATTGAAAAGACAACACACCAGTACCTCAATATATTGTTTGCTACAATTTTCTTTGTGGTTTATTGAGAAGACAACACATCAGTACCTCAGTATATTGCTTGCTACAGTTTTCTTTGTGGTTTTTTGAGAAGACAACACACCAGTACCTCAATATATTGCTTGCTACAATTTTCTTTGTGGTTTATTGAAAAGACAACACACCAGTACCTCAATATATTGTTTGCTACAATTTTCTTTGTGGTTTATTGAGAAGATAACACACCAGTACCTCAATATATTGCTTGCTACAGTTTTCTTTGTGGTTTATTGAAAAGACAACACACCAGTACCTCAATATATTGCTTGCTATAATTTTCTTTGTGGTTTTTTGAGAAGACAACACACTAGTACCTCAATATATTGCTTGCTACAATCTTCTTTCTGGTTTACTGGTAATAAAATCCAAATAAAGACTGCTAATTATTATTAATAAATATGATGTTGGATATTCTATGTAAATAGAAGTCAAAGAAAACACTTGTAACCATTACTAGCGTATACACTGTTAGATATTTTATTTAATGGATATTAGCACGTGTGTCACTAAACGTGTTGTGTAAAAGAAACAAAAAAGCAAAACTTGTGGCTAACTTTGCACTTGCTATTTACGTACTTCATTTACTTGGCAAGATCAAACATGTAATGCTATACCTTAACTACTTGTAATGCACACTAAACAGAATTGGTACGTGTTACTAGCACAAATGAGATTAGGCTTGATGTGTATTCGTAAGGTGGAGAGACTGACTACTTGTAATACGTATTTTGTCTGACCGGAAGTTTCAGTAAAAGACTGATCACAGTTTCATTAAGTTGTTGTTACCTTGATACATAGTGAGCAAGAGAGTTTCTCATACCATTACTCTTAAAACCGTTTAAAAAGCTGTTTAATGTATCACCACCTCACATTCACGAATAACACGATATCTTGCTAGATTTTGATTCCAAATAGCGAAGTGAAACGTTGGTTTTGTTGGATTTGTGATCCGTTATTTAATTCCTAGAGAAAGTGAAACTTCGGCAAGAACTTTTATACAAATTACTGCAAACTACAACAATTTAATAATTTGTTTTTCTTATGCAG